TGTGTACTCCAATCTAGGTCAGCACCACACCAACACTGGGATACCCCGGTTATAGAGTTCCATACTATGAGGCTCAAGATCAAATACTGTCTATGGCTCAACCTCCCTCTCCTGATACTGCAACAGTCAGCTTCCTGGAGGTGGTGAAGAAGAATGACCCACTTCCCTGTGACAAAGAACAGGACATCTTCATCCGGTACACTATAGTTGGAGAGGTTCACAGATTTGTGGATTTGATGTATCTGGTGAGTGGCATATGGACTGTTCATCAGTTTGTCATCAGGTCTCTCAGAGACACAGCACAGTTGTTTTTAAAATAACCATATCAATTATTGGCGTCTGTTCTTAAAGGAACACTCCTAGGTTTAAGGAGATGGCAGCATTGATCAGCTTACCTGCCATGTGAGGAGACGAGATGCCAAAATGTTTGTTATTAATCTAAGTGGCAACAATTTAGCGTGCACTACGTTCATATGAGACTATGACCAAGTACTGGTTGGCCTGCTCACATGAAGTGCACTGCTATAACATGATTTTGAGATGGAATTTAGCATCATTATTTGTGAAAATAAAAAAATCAGTATCCAGACAGTGTTGTAATTTGCTGTTGAAATAATTGTACTGCTGTACTACTCATTCCATTTCCTCTCAAATTCCCCAGGTCTTGTCCAGAGGAGCTATCTCTCTGCAAGGACTTAAAAGGTTACAAATCGGTGATAAATCAGGTGGGCAAAGACTGGCTTTAATTATGAGTTCAGGGACTGACATTTTAAATTGACGCTTAATTAGCATGATCAGATTTCTGAACTGCTGCTTTATTAACATTCGGAGGCATGTGAATCATAACAGCTGGTTTGTTTCAGTAACTGAGGGTGAGGTGTCCTTCAAGTTGAAAGTGTCTCCAAAGATGGCGCCAGTTGTTCAGATTGTCGCTTACGTCGTCCTGCCCAGTGAGACGGTGATCGCCAACAGTGCTGACTTCCCCACTGAGAAATGCTTCAGTAACAAGGTTGGTATAAGAAGACGTGCATCTAAAACTCCACTGGCCCGGTGTTTGTTGTAACATCTTCCTCTCCCGTCAACATGCACTGCACCGGCATACTGAGACATTCTGCCTCTGTGGCTACATGAATGGGACATTGTTCCTGCAGGACAACAGATGGAACAAAGGGGCTTGTGGGTTTCACGCCACTGCTCCAGTCATAAGTTAATATGGCCACATTCATCTGTGATTGGCTCTTTTTAAAAGGGCAACGGGTTTTCCCTTTTTCCCCACAGTCTCAACTTGTTTTTATACTGGTTACACACACAGGACTAAGCAGAGATGCAGGATGTCATGCTAAATGATGAGTTAAGATGCACATCCACATCACAGATCTTCCCCTGTGCATCCTCTCTCTTCCCCTCCACTTAGCAACACCCCAAGGTGGCAGTTTCATGTTGAGTTTAGTGTTAAGAGCAAGTAAATATTGAAGATCTGCTCAAATGCTGGAGTTAAACTCAAATCTCTGGCTTTGATTTAAAGTCTGTGTTACACCTGTACATAATATTTCCTAAATTTTCCATGTACTTTGTAGCTATTATTTAAAATTTCAAATTGTGGCAAATCATTTGTGACCATTTAATGATACTGATTTGAATACATACCAGTGGCACCTAGTCCAATATTTTATTGGCCTCCAGTGTGAGGCTGGGTCATGTTCATCTCATACCACTAAAGTCCAGAGCGTGCATTGTCCTTTGTGTGTGTCTCTCAGGTGTCGTTGAAGTTTACTCCATCCTCAGCTGTCCCACAAGAAGCTGTCACCATGCGGGTGACGGCTGTGCCGGGGTCTCTTTGTGGTGTGAGCATTGTCGACAAGAGTGTCTTCATTAAGGAACCAGGGACGGGTCTGGATGCAGACAAGGTACCTGCTGGAATCAAAAACAAATGGATGCATACTGCCTTTAGATTTCATCCTCTTAACATCATCATTGATTATGTATGTGATATACAGTATATATGTGTAACTTATAGATAAAGATGGTGTTTTCATACTCTGTACAGAGATGTTTGAAGACAAGAGTAGGCCTGGAATCCAAAGACTTACCGAACAATCAGAGCTTCATAGAGTAATGAACACTTGGAAGTTTGTTTGAACCCTATTTTGTTGTCAGATATTCAACTTGCTGCCTGTGACCAGTGTATCCTATATTCCATATGAAGTTCAAGATCCTACAGAATGTTTGACTGTGAGAGCCAAAAGATCCATTTTGCCACCATATCCTAGAGGTGGTGACAATGTCGATGCTTACACAATTTTCCAGGTACTTGACATTTAATATACAAGATAAATAATAAACATTGTACATGTCATGAACTTCAAGTGATGTTGGTATATTGTTGTATTATCTAGAATGTCGGACTGAAGATGGCAACAAACTTGTTATTTCAGTTGCCTTCGTGTCTCAAGTTCAAAGGAAGAGTATACCAACAAACCACTTTACACCACTACTATGGTGATTTATATTTCTTGCTCTAATTGTCACATGCGTAATATTTACCAGCACTAAAACAGCTTACTGTCACAGTTGACCTCCTCTTCTCATTGTGTATATATATATATTTTTTTGTTTTTGTTTCAGATGCTGAGTACAGTGGTCTCCGTATCCCTCCTTCACATGCAGGTATTGCCGCAGGTTTTTCTGTGGGTGCACGTATTCCTGTGGTTGCAGCTGGCGGATACACTGCTTCTCAACCTCCACCAGCAGTGACAGTCCGCACATTCTTCCCTGAGACTTGGATATGGGACCTGGTGGAAGTTGGGTGAGCTTCTATTGCAAAGAGATTTGATTAGTTTGATTTGATTAAATTTGATTTGTGTATTTGAGTGCATTTCTGGGCCTGCCCTGGACACTTCATCCATCAACACAGGGCTGACAGGGTTGACACAACCATTCACAAGTCACAATGGGCGACTGTGGCTCAGGAGGTAAAGCAGGTTGTCTCCTAACTGGAAGGGCTGGCGCTTTGATTCCCGGATTCTGCAGTTCACATCTCAAAGTGTTCTTGAGCAAAGGCCCTGAACCCCAAGTTGATCCCGGTGATATCGCCAGTGTCTATGCATGCGAATGGGCAAATACTGTAATGTGAAAGCACTTTGAGTGTGCTGCAATGCATTGAAAAACATTATACAAGTGTAAATCCATTTACCATGAGATGCTTCCTAAATCTCCTCAGCAACATTGAACTCAGTATTCCTGCATTTTTTTTATGTTCTGAATTTGAGATCTTAGGAAGTCAGCAAATGAAACATTTTCACATTCACCCATTTTCACAGTAACTACTATTAGTGCAGTTAATCCTGCACATCAATCTACAGTATGCATGCTGGTTTTCTTCGGTTAATTTGAATTATTTAACTCTGTCTTTCCAGCTCACAGAATGTGTTTGTGTGTGTCTGCTGATCCAGAGAATCTGGAACAAAGGATGTGTCCCTCACTGCCCCAGACACCATCACCACCTGGGAGATGGAGGCTTTCTGTTTGTCCCCTCACGGTTTTGGATTAGCTCCTCGTAAGGAAATCACCGTCTTCCAGCCCTTCTTCCTGGAGCTCACCCTGCCCTACTCCATCATCCGGGGGGAGCACTTCGTACTGAAGGCAACAGTCTTCAACTACTTGACCAACTGCATCATGGTAAGGAATGTTTCTGCTGGATCTAAATACAGATGTCAGCATGTTAACTTGCTCACAATGACTATGTTAACACGCTGATGTAATGTTACCATGTTTTATATCTTAATTTGTCTAATTAAGTGTACTAACATTTTCTTATTAGCATTAGACAGAAAGCGGAGCTGAGCCTGGTGGAAATGTTAGTTTTGCAGGTAATTTACTCATAAATAAAATAGATCAACCAAGTGCTGAGCAAACTAATTTTGACATGATGAAACCACCTGGTGAAAAGTCATGACAAGTCATCCTTTGGTGAAAATGAATTTGGGTGCAAATCTCATGGACATTCATGCAATAGATTGTAGAGCTGTTCTTAAATCAGGTTAGTATTGTATGTCAACACAACTGGCTATAGTTGAACTTTTGTTTGTACAGTATTTACCAGTTTTAAAATATATACTTGTCTCTTGAACAGGTCACTGTGACTCCGGAACCCTCTTCAGATTACACCCTCACCCCCCTCTCTGGTGACCAGTACACATCCTGTCTGTGTGGCAGTGAACGAAAGACCTTCAGCTGGACCATGAACCCATCGGTCTTAGGTGAGGGTCTGACTTTCATCCACACTGGTGTAAAATATTAAAGCTGGAGGAAGTACAGCTCTTCTTTCCACACCACAACTCATTTTCCTCTCTATGAAATCAATGTGCTGCACCTCAGTGATAAAATGTTTTGACACTTTGGGGATAATATAAAAGGCTGAACTTCATCTTTCTTAGGGACTGTGAATGTGACTGTGACTGCTGAGGCTGTGGCATCACAGGCTTTATGTGACAATGAGGTTGCGAGCGTGCCCGACAGAGGTCGTATTGATGTAGTCACAAAACCTCTCATTGTAAAGGTCAGTGCCTAAAAAAAAAAAAAAGACTGCAATGTATCTGTTAACCATTATGTTTTGCATCTAATAAGATGTAAAATAGTTACTGATAGCACTGACAGCTTATACTCTATGTACAGTTGACACTCAGTTGACAACTTGGGAATTTTCAGAAAATTATGTCATGGCTTTAGAAGCTTCTGATAGTCTAATTGATATTATCTGAGTAAATAGAAGGTGCAGCTGTGGATATATTTTAATACCTATTTTCAAATTCAGTACCTCTTTGTTTGACATCATGGGAAAACCAAAAGAAATCAGTCAAGACTTCAGAAAAAAATTGTGGACCTCCACAAGTCTGGTTTATCCTTGGGAACAATGTCCAAATGCCTCAAGGTACCATGTTCATCTGTACAAACAATAGTACACAAGTATAAGCACCATGGGACAACGCAGCCATCAGCCATACGTTCAGGAAGGAGACATGTTCTGTCACCTAGAGATGAACGTTCTTTGGTCCAAACAGTACAATCCAATCCCAGAACAACAGCAAAGGACCTTGTGAAGACACTGGCGGTAACAGGTACCAAAGTATCTATATCCATAGTAAGATGAGTACTATGTCGACATCACCTGAAAGGCCACTCAGTGAGGAGGAAGCCACTGCTCTGGTCTGATGAAACATAAATTGAACTGTTTGGCCATAATGACCATTGTTATGTTTGGAGGAAAAAGGGGGAGGCTTGCAAGCTAAAAAACATCATCCCATTCATGAGGCATGGGGGAGGCAGCATCATGTTGTGGGGGTGCTTTGCTGCAGGAGGGACTGGGGCACGTCACAAAGTAGATGACATCATGAGGAAGGAAGATGATGTGGATATATTGAAGCAACATCTCAAGACATCAACCAGGAAGTTGAGGGTTGGTTGCAAATGGGTCTTCCAAATGGACAATGACCCCAAGCAGACTTCCAAAGTTGTGGAAAAGTGGCCATCACAAAGTCCTGACCTCAATCCAATGGAAAGATTGTGGGCAGACCTGGAAAAGGATGTGTGAGCAAGGAGGCCTACAAACCTGACTCAGTTCTGTCAGGAGGACTGGGCTAAAATTCCAGCAGCTTATTGTAAGAAGCTTATGGAAGGCGTGCCAACATGTTTGACCCAAGTTAAACAATTTAAAGGTAATGCTACCAAATACTAACCAAGTGTATGTAAACCTCTGACCCACTGGGAATGTGATAAAAGAAATAAATATTTTTCTCTACTATTACTCTGACATTTCACATTCTAAAAATAAAGTAGTGATCCTAACTGACCCAAGACAGGGAATGTTTATAGGATTAAATGTCAGGAGCTGTGAAAAACTGAGTTTAAATGTATTTGGCTAAGGTGTATGTAAACTTCTGACTTTAACTGTACATCATTTTCCATCTTCTTGCCTCTCAGGCTGAGGGAACTGAGGAGCAAAAGACCTACAACTGGTTGCTCTGTCCGAACGGTCAGTATGGCTCACACCCTGTGTGGTCTGTCAAGGATTCTGAAAAAGGAGAGTGAGATGTAATAAGTCATGAGGGGTGGAGTCGGCTGCCTGTCAAAAGACATTCAGCTACTTGAAAAATTGTAGCATTTACATTTATGATAATTATGGCAATTGTGCCAAGTTTAATGCAGACACATGTCAATACTTGGGTATAGTTCAGAAATGCTTACGTCAAAAATTTATACTGTAAAATGAAGGTGCTATCGTAATGTTTTTACATCTGTCTCATTAAGTATTGGCCTCATAAAATTGTTAACCATAAATTTGGAATTTCAATTAATAACTACAATGACTGAATAAATGGAAAATCCTTTAAAACTGTTGTTTCATTTTAGCTATAATGTATTACAACTTAACCCAACACCACATGTAGGAGGACAATAGCAAGATGACCAACCTCTAATGGCGGCCACCTTCATCGCCACCACTATGTATGTACCTGAATTTCTCTCTGTAAGGTGATTGTTGTGTGCTTGTACACAGAAGAAGCTCTGACAGAGGAAATGGAGATACACCTCCCTGAGAATGTGATTGATGGATCTCCCCGTGCTTCAGTATCAGTCCTGGGTAAACCGATGAATTCATTTGCTTTAATCAAACATGTCCTGGCAAGTTAACAGACTTCCCCTTTTGAAGCATTGTTCAGACTGGATTGTTCTGTTGAAGATATTATGTTTTACTTTTATACAGTTTTTTTCAAACCATTTGAAACCACTGGACTTTAATGTAATGCAGAAAGCTAATTTACCAAATCAAATATAGTAAAGTTAAAATACAAAAAGAGCATTTTTAAGAGTCCACGTTAAATTTGATTCTGCAAAAAAATGTTTTTGTGATTGAAACAACATTAACAACATGCACACTGATTGTCGTCTTTCAAGTCCATTTAGAAATTAAAAGTCAGGTCATTGACGTGTTTGATCTTACTGACTCGGTGTCTTTGTGCAGGTGACATCCTGGGCCGAGCCCTGAAGAACCTGGATGGACTGCTGCAGATGCCGTATGGGTGTGGGGAGCAGAACATGGCTCTCCTGGCCCCTAATATTTACATCCTCCAGTACCTGACAAACACAGGGCAGCTGACCCCAGCCATCAAG